TGAAAATTGAAAACGAAATGGTTACCAAACAGGCTTCAGATGGTAAAAATATCATAAAATTAACAAATAATTAAATAAGTTACCAACATAAGAAATAACTTATCAAAAGATTCTTAGGATATGTATGGTTTGATTTTTAGAAAAAAATTTAAAAGTTAAAAATTAATTTGGTTAAGAAATAAAAAATAATTATCATTTTTATATAATTTTTATCTTTCAAGTGGTTAGAAATAATTTTCTACAAATTAAATATATTTTTTCTTATTTATTTTTATTAAATTAGTTTTTTTTTCAAATGTCAGAGGAGGGTCCGTATTAAATTGAAACCTCATGGGATATCAATGTTATTTACCCTTTAAAATATATGTAAAAGTTAAGGGTAAATATGTCATTTTAACTTAAAAGTTAATACTGTCAAATAATTACACTGAAGACGAGGGTCAATGTAATTTTTCAAATATAAGAAAAATTGTAATAAATATAAATTTTAAGGGTGTGAGTGTAATTTATCTAACTAATTGATAAAGTCTCTCTTGATAGTCGTGCAAAGAAATTAGATCGAATCTTGCCATCACTCGCGTCCGGAAGGGAAATGATTAAACCTAGGGATACTCCCAATTTGGTGGCCTATCATATCACCATTAATCATGCCTTAAAACATATCCATGATGTCCTTGTGTAAAGTGGACAGCGTAGATTGTACTCTATTTTTTAAAGGAATAATAATAAGGGTTAATTACAATTTATCCCTTAAAGTTTCACTTTTTTATTTTTTATTTTGATCTTTTAAGTTTAATTTTTTTTTTTTTTACTTTGACCCTTTATGTTTATAATTATTCTCACTTTGATCATTCATATTTATAATTTTTCACTTTGGTCCTTTAAGTTCGATTTTTTCCACTTTAGCCCTTCATATTTGTAATTCTCCGCTTTGACCCTTCATATTTGCAATCCTTCCTATTTTACTTCTAGGCTCCGTTTGTTTTCAGCTATAAAATGGAGGGGATTGATAGTGAGGGGATTGTTAGTGAGAGGATTGATAGTGAGGGGATTAATAGTAAAAAATTGTTAAACTATTTTTATATAAAATAACAAATATAAAAATTAAACATTAATATTTTAAAAAAAAATTCCATTATATAAAAAATTAAAAAAACTAAAAAATTTCTAATCCCCTCATTATTTTTCTAATACCATCTCTACCTCCTTACTATGAATCCCCCTTCCAAGAGTATTAGTAATACCAAGGTATTAGTAGTCTCAATACCATCTCTCAAAACAAACAAGGTATTAGTAATACCAAGGTATTAGTAGCCCCAATCCCCTTCTTACAACCCCAAACAAACAAGGCCCTAGACTAACTTCCATTCAAAAAAGTAACCGAATTGGTCATATCATTTGCACATCAACTCCATATATGATGTAAAAAATTTACTAAAGATGCAAAAAATAAAAAATAAAATTGATTTTTTTTTTAATCTTTAGTGAACTTTTTTTTCAAATTTATTCATAAATATTATTACATTATAGATACATCTAGATTAGATGCAGCTAAAAAGATAAAAACAAATTTAACTAAAAAATTAAAAAAAAAATTCACTAAAAATGGAAAAAAAAACAATAATAAATTTTCCATTTTAGAATTGACAATATAGGTGTTTGAGTCAGTATATTTTCATTTTTTTCTTCTTTAGTAAATTTTTTTCTTTTTTTAGTTAAATTTGTATTTGTTTTTTTAGCTGCATCTAATCTAGATGCATCTATAATATAATAATATTTATGAATAAATTTGAAAAAAAAAAGTTCACTAAAGATTAAAAAAAAAATTTGTTTTCTATTTTTTTTTTTTTTTGCTTTTCACTTAATTTTTTATATTACACATGGAGCTGATGTGTTAGTGATGTGACAAATTATGTTAGCTTTTTGGATGGAAGTTAGTCTAGAAATAAAGCGGAAAGGATTGTAACTATGCAGGGCCAAAGTGGGATGCATTGCAAATATGAAGAGCCAAAGTGAGAAAAATTAAATTTAAAAAGCCTAAATGGAAAAGATCGCAAACATAAAAAGCCAAAATAAGAAAAATTAAACTTAAAAGGTAAAAAAATAGATGAAACTTTAAGAGGGTAAAATGTGATTTACCCTAACAATAATAATTAGATTGATCTTTTATTTTATTTTTTGCTCTATTGTCTTTTATTTGTTAGGTTTGACCAAAACATACTTATTTGGGAAATTTGGCCAGCTTTTTAATTTTTTAATTTTTTTGAGTCACGTTATTTTTTTATTTTTTTATGTTTTATTAAAAATAAATCAAAAAATTAATTTTTAATTTACTTCTTAAAACAAATCTAAATTTTATTATTTTAAAATAATTAGAGCGACTTTTGCGGCAATTGTGACTTTCAATGTTAGTCTATTTATAAAAAATGAATCACAAATATAATTTGAAAATTAAATTATTTATTTTTATTTATCAAGTCTATTTTATTTTTTTATGAATAATTTAAATGTTATAATCTAAAAAATGAATTATTGAACTTAACAAAATAAGACTCATGAGCCCAAACATCACCATCATTTTAGATGGGAGACAAGCTAATATCCAGATATACTATAAATTTGCAAAAATATCAATGATAAACAAAAATATATAAGAGACATATTATTAAATTATAAAATTAATTTATATATTTATGGTCACCAACTCATTCAAGTTAAAATGATCCTATTCTTGACTCTGTCTTTGATTATTAAAACAAGTTTTAAAATTTTAAAAAAACTAGAAATGAATTGATTTAAGGAAATTTTAATATACACCCTTAAAAAGAGTGTATCATATATATTTTTAATTATGTCTTTTTTTTAGTTATTACTAATTTTCTTCTTTAATTATGATATTATTTTAATTATAACTCATAAGATATTTTAGTTATGATATTTTTGTAGTTATGGTTCACAAAATATGAATGTGATGTCAATTTTTTCTTTAATTATAAGATGCATATTAAAATGTGCGTATCATAGTGTTTCCCTAGATTCAAACAAGGAAAATGTTTGAGAGCTCGAAACTTGCCTCTCCTAATCCCCCTAATGCCCAAAACGACGTCGTTTTGGACATTAGGCTTTTTTTTTCCGACCATTTTCAAGCTCAAACGCAGGGGGAAGAGGGAGAGGGAGAGAGAGAGAGGGAGAGCGATGGAGAGAAGAGAGAAGAGGGAATGGAGACACACACACACAGAGGCCCCTGCATTCCGGTCGATCGTCCGATCGTCGCAGCTCCGCCGATCGTCGTAGCTCCGCCCGGCCGACGTCGCCTCCGCCTCTGCCTTCTTCCCTTCTTCTTCTCTTCTTCCCTTCTTCCCTTCGTCTGCTTCTTCTTCTCTGATTGAACCGGAAAAAGAAATAAAAAATAAAAAATAAAAAACGTCGAAACGACGTCGTTTCTCGTTTCGGGGGATTAGGGGGGACGCTCTTTCGAGCTACGTAGCACGGCTCTTTAAACAATTAGAGGTTGTTTGGGAAGTTCGATATTATCACACTATTTTATCTTTTTATTTTTTTAGGTAACATTTTTTTTGCACATATATTTTCATAAAAAGTCAAAAAGTATATTTATTTAACACTTTTCAAACAATCCCTCAATAGAATTTCAAATTTTACATTAAATTAAATTAAGAAAATTGTTAGGAATACAAACAAAGTTATCAAAAAAATCTATCAAACCACTTAGGTCGCGTTTGGTTTAATATTCAAAATTCAACTCTATTTTTAAATTACAACTTGGATATAAACCAAATACTTTTTAAAACACAATTCAAAATTACTTTGAAAACAATTTTCTTTTATTTTATTATTATTATTAATCAATCAATCAATCACTTTCTCTCTCTCGTCTCTCATTTCTCCTAAATTCAAAATCAAGGACAAAAACCCCAGCCCAATTGATAACAACGAAAGCTTTTCTTTCTACCTTTTCTCTTAGAGTTTCTTGTAAATGACATTGATTGGGAAAGGGAAGGGGGCTTCGGCCTCCAACCACCACTCTCATCTCTTCCTCATTTTCTTTCCCTCTTATTTGTTCTGCTCAATTAGCTTTGGGAGAGCCTTCTTCCCGATCTCTTTCTCTTTATGAGGAGTCTCTTCTCCTTAGTAGAAGTTCGTTGTTTCCTCCTTCTCTATCTTTTTGGTGTCAAATCGGCCATATATTCCTCTCCCACTGTTGTTTGCCAGAGTCATCACCTTCATTCCTCTACTAGATCTGCTTCAGATCTGGAAACCTCTAAAGATCCAGCTGTTGCTTCGATTTTGAGGTTGAGTTTTCTATTTTTTTATTTTTTTAGTTTGGTAGTGTTTTTATGAAGTCGATCGATGTTGTGCTATGGTTTACTCATTCTGTGGTTGTAACCGATAATCTATTTTAGCCACGCTCTATGGTCGATTGTTTGGTTTCTGTTTTGCAGTATAAGTACAAGTACGGGATGCGCGGCTGTGTTTTTCATAGTTTTTACTCCTGTGTATTCTTTGATTTATTTTTTCTTTACTTGGTATAAGCTTCCTGTTGGATGGACTCACCATTGTAAGTGTCGTTTGACTTCATTAATGGAAATTTATTTTTAATAAAAAAAAAATCTCTCATCTTTCATTTTATATTCTTTCACATTCTATATATCAATTAATCAATCAAAAATATATATATATATAAATCATCTTAAAATTATTTTTAAAACTTATAACCAAACAAATTTTATATTTTTAAATTATAATTCAAAAACTAAAATTTAAGACATAACTCCATACTAAAATCATTATTTTGAAATAAACCAAACGAACCCTTACATGATGTGGGGCCATACTCATGTGGGACCTCGTGTAAGTGTTTAATAGATTTTTGGGTAAAAAATTTAAAATGGTTGTTAAATTAAATTGCAAATATTAAAAACTTAAAATAACTGTCACACGATTGTAACAGTTCTCCACAGCATGAAAACTAAGCAAAACCTTGCAAAAATATTCAACGGTAAAAGCCAGCAGAAGAAGAAGAAAACTCCCGCCATTGTCGCGTTGTGTCGTCTCTCGAATCAGCATATCGCTATATTTATTTTCCATATTGCACACATCACACACAGAGAGAGAGAGAGAGAGGAGAATAGATGAGACTTTGATTCTGAATCTCTGATTGAAATCGAAGCGAAACTAACGCGAACTCATCGGAGAAATGAAATCACAGTTTTTACCACAAATGAAACCCAAAGGAAAACGAATTTGGGGATTCAAGTCCAAGCTAGGGTTACCGATCATCTTCCTCCTCTGCTCCCTCTTCTTCCTCGCTGGCCTCTTTGGATCCACTCTACTCTTTCAGGTATATACATATGTATAAGCTCATATGTGTGTATGTATATGTGTATGTATGTTAATCGGTTGAGAGTGCGTTAAATCGTGTTTTCAGGATGTGCCGGGTGTTCGATCGCCGCCGAGATGGCTTGAATCAGTAGAGGAAGAGGATAATTCGACGCCGCACGGAGAAACTGGGGAGTCTCGGGTTGCTTCGATTCCCTTTCAGGTGCTCTTGTTTGTACCCATTTGTATTGACCTAATTCAAATCGATTTTACAGTGTAACGGTGTGATGCAGTATATTAATTTCTATTTTTAGTTTTTTAATTTTTTTGTGAGCATGTTTTGTGGACTAATAGGTTTATCTGATATGACTTCCGCTGATCCAGCAAAAAATAAATAAATGAATTCATGATTTTGGATTTAAGTAGTTGCTGGAGCTGAAATTCTTAATTGAGTTGTGTTTATCAATCAGAACGGTAGTGAGGAAAAAAATTACATAAAAAACAGTTGCACCACTCAAAATGAGTATTGAACTACTAATCCAATAGGTTTAGCAGCTGTGGGGTTGATTATATGATTTTATTATTTGTTGGGCTGTTGGGTTGAGTAATATCGTTGATTTTGCCTCTACCCTCTTGAATGTGCAGGTGTTGAGTTGGGAACCACGAGCACTTTATTTTCCTAATTTTGCAACCGCAGAACAATGCCAAAGCATAATTGAAATGGCAAGGTTAAAGCTTAAACCATCAACCCTAGCTCTGCGGAAGGGAGAAACTGCCGAAAACACAAAGGGAGTAAGAACAAGGTACTTTCTTTGTACATCAAAGTTCTGGTTCATTTAACTTGTTTTATATATTCTATTTGAAAGTATACTTTTGCGAGTCATAATAACTGCTGCCTGATAAATGAAAATTATTACATGATTACATGGCATGGCTGATATCTTTTTTTAAAGGTAATGCAGTGCTGCCATGAAAAAATATTGAAAAATTCTAATTATACTGATATTACCCGTAATGCTACAAAACACCCAAAGTGAATTGAAGCATCAATAAGTTGATTCTGCAGACTTGTACTGTCTGCCATCTTCAACCACTAGTGCCTTCTATTTGTGAGTAATTTTGAGACATAACGCAATGGCTCCTGTTGAATTGATTATTCTTAGCTGACACTTTCCTTGGAAACAGTTCGGGCACATTTATCAGTGCATCAGAGGACAGAACTGGAGTTTTGGCAGCTGTTGAGCAAAAAATTGCAAGGGCTACAATGATCCCAAGGAGCCATGGGGAGGTATAATCTTTAATGGTTTGGCAATTTGTTGTTTATGTAATTTTTAATAATATCATTACAGGTTTCTGTTTTTTAGTAAATACTTGAGTCTGTGTCCATCACTTCATATTAGATTGTACTGGATCTATCCCTTCGATCTCTCACAAAGGAAAATTTAGGAATAAAAACATTGGCAAAGAAAAGTGGGAAAAGATTGAAGACTTATGTATGGATGAGTATGTTAAGTCACCAATTATCCCAAAAGCTTAAATTGATGGGAAATTGGACCAACAATGTGTATCAAGCTATTCAACATAGTAAACTTAATCTGATAACCTTACGGTGATGACAAGGCTGCTGTTTACATTTAGAATCATTACTTCATATTATTGACAATTACTTTTTCTCTGCTCTATGGTCATGTGTAGCTTATCATGACGTCCCAAGGGTTGTTTAATCTCACACAAACATTCTGCATTTCCCAATACTAGGACAAAACAAATGTTCTACCAAACACACGTTCAAATTTTTTTTCCCTGCATTGGAAATTTGAAAAAGTTAATCTTTCATTACAGGTCAATTCTGAGATAGTAATGCCGGGATGTCACCATATTGCAGGCATTCAACATTTTACGCTATGAGATTGGACAGAGATATGTTTCTCATTATGATGCATTCAACCCAACTGAGTATGGCCCACAGAAGAGCCAAAGGGTACAATACTATCAGAGCATCTCTGTTTCTTGGTTGTGTCGAAGCTACCCCTTAATTTTCTTTATGCTTCCTTTTGAAGATAGCGGTTTGATTTGATGCGGAAGTTCTTCAGTTAAGGCAGCCTTTTTTTTCTAATGGTGATCTGCCTTCTGTGCACCAGCCACCCCCCCAAAACAGAGTGCTAGAATATTTTTTAAATTGTGAAATGATATGCTGCTGCTGGTGTGTTGAAGATACGTCCAAATATCTTAATGTAAATCTCACCATTGGGTCATTAATGTTAGTTGTATTGTATGACATACACCCATAATATTAATAATAAACTTGGATATAAGAATTCAATTTCCATGCTATGCTTGTATAACATAAGACTTATTTGCAGAAATGATTGCCTGGATCGTTGCACCCATAAAAAATTAGTTATGCATTCACCATGTCTTGTTTTTTAGGACATGACTACATTGGGTGGTTCATACAATCATTTGCTCAAGTTTATTTATTTATCACCCCCAATACCTTCAAGATAATTACTGGGGCCATACTTTTTATGGTATCTTTGCTAGACAATCTTGTTGTGATTAGTCACTTGTGTGATAGATTTGAAATGCATACTTAAAATGGCCTGTCAGATATTGCTTTGTATCAGATATCTGTCTCGCTGGATTTGTTATGGATGCTGGGAAGTATTAAACCTTTTGCCAAAGAATTATTGCATGATTTGATTAAATTGTCTTGCAGATGGCATCCTTCTTGTTATATCTATCTGATGTGGAAGAAGGTGGAGAGACCATGTTCCCTTTTGAGGTAAGATCAGAAGATTTTTCACTTTTTATTATTGGTTTCACATGTGATGGATAGGGCAACCATTAGAATGTTCTGATATGCAGAATGGCTCAAACATTGGTGTGGGTTATGACTACGAAAAGTGCATCGGTTTGAAAGTGAAGCCACGCCAAGGGGATGGACTTCTGTTTTATTCATTGTTTCCAAATGGCACAATTGACAAGGTATGCGTTTTCGTTTATTAGTTATGTAATTGAACCTCTGTGCATATAATTTGATCTTTTTCTAGCTAGTAGGGAACTGAAGTATTGACTAGTGTGCCTCCCAAGATATTGGTCTCTTCATTGATTCAAAGCACAATTGACAAAATTCCTAGTTTGATGCTGCCATAAAAAAATTAAGTCTTTGAGCAAAATCAGAACTCTTGATTTCAGGAAATCTATCAAGCCTAGATTGAAATACTCGCTCTATATTGAGGCGGCATTGCCAAGATGGTAGTGAATAGGAAATGGCATGCTAAGACTAGATGAAGGCCTCCAATTTCTCCTTTTATTCCAAAATATCATCCTTATGTCTCTTACATCCTTACTTTGGGAAAATATGATCTGATTTTTCTGTGAAGCATCCATTATTCAACAACCTTCACTAATCCAACTTATCGGTATCTCCACAACTATATTTGCCTCTTCATAATGGTTGTTTATGGAAACCCTCTCATTCCATTCTGTTTTCCTAGTATCATCATCCAGATTTAGGTATTATGCATACAATACTACAAAGAAAAAAGAGAACACAAGTTTCCAATATCTTTTTTTAGTGAATTACTTTGATTGTTGTAGGTTTTGGTATGCAATCAAGCCCTAGGTTCTTTAGTTGCAAGCTTTTGAACTCTGGTTGGAAACTAGCTATCATTCATGCTTGGAACTGTTGTTTTCACAACCCAAATTCCATTCCTTTTCCTTCACTGTATTAGTGCTGAAATGGAGCAATATATGATTTCAATGGCTTTTTGTGTTTGTGTTGAATTTCCTCTAATATCCCGAAGTTATTTTTCTTGCAGACCTCTCTCCATGGAAGTTGTCCGGTTATTAAAGGTGAGAAATGGGTGGCTACAAAGTGGATCAGAGATCAAGAGCTATATGACTAATTTCTACACGTAGAGGGAAACCTTTTGCCGTAAATGTTTCTTCTTGCTAGCCTTGACTGTGTTGAGATTCACGGTTAATTAAAACTATTATCAACATCATCATCACAGAAATATCCTCTTTGAGCAGTTAGCTTAAAATATGTACCCCACATGAATGAATCATCCGATTTATGTGAAATGCATTGTGAAAATTTTGAAAAGACATTCCATTGGAAATTCTTGTGATTGTTGGCCATTATCTTGTTTCTAGAGACTAAAAGATTTATGATTTTTTTTTTAAAAAAAATTAATTATTTTATTTATTTTTAATTGTTGGTGATAAACGTGTACTTGTTAAAAGGTCATGTCTAGTGCACAATGTTCTCACTTACTTTCTCACTTACTTACAAGAGAGTTTGGGATGAGTAATGGATTTGAAAAAGAGGAATTGGTTATTTATTTTTTAATAATGGTTTGGTGATGAATCTTTTATAAGCTGCAAGTTGTGGAATGACTAGATTTTGCACCATCAAACTCACTCGTTTAACATTTGAATGTCTTACATTATATTGCTTTTTAATTAATGGAAATTGATATAAAATTTGCATATAAAAGGGAAATTATTGAGATATTTAAAAGGGTGAAGTATTCATTAGTGAGATTAGGAAAAAACATTTATAAAAAGAATTATGATTTTAATTATTAGTATTTATAATGTTTATCATATTTTTGTAAATATTTTTTTAATCCTTTTCTTATTTAAATGGTGTACTATGACAACTTAAATTATCATTAAAATTTTAAATAACGAAGAATAATACTATTGCGATTATTAAAAATTGTAAACAAATGTGAGAGAACAATTTTGGTGGTGGAAATTTTGGGTGTCGGAATATTTTTTCTTTAGTCAATGGTCTGCCTAGATACGAAGAAGAAACGAAAAAGAAAAAAAATATCTTCAACCTATGATTCATTGATGTGGGGGTAAATGATGATAGCCATGGAAATTGGCAAAGGAAACAAAGACCGCAGACCACCCCGAGTTCCTCAATTTTCAAACGTAAAGGGTTGTTTATTTGTTACCTTTAAGTTCACGTTTGTTTGGGTGGACATGAATTTGGAATTGGATTAATAGTCCAATAAAATTATTAATTCGATATTTGATTAAATAATTAAAGTACGGATTAATTATTTTAAACTTGACTATTAGTTAAGATAAGATATATAATCCAACGGATTGGTAGTCCTAGAACTATTAATCATGGAAATACTAATCCAGTCCGCCCAAACAAACATGGCCTAAATTGATTGTTTGTCTTTTTATTTTGTTTTATATTATTTATGCATGAATGCAAGGAGACATTACTACACGCATGTGCAATTTATTTGCATAAGAAATTAGGGGGTAATTTGTTATGAAATATAAACCTCAGGGGGTAAATTGTTATGAAAATACAAACCTCAGGGGGCAGGATGTAATTTCCGAAACCTTAGGGGTATCTGTAATTTAACCAAACCTTGAGGGGTGTATATGTAATTTGCCCTTTTTTTATTAAACTTATGAAATCTTCTTAATATAATAATTTTTACATAAACATGTAAATTTAATATGAGTCTTCAAATAAATTTAAAATTTTAATTATTCTGAAATTAAATAACAAATGCTTTTAAATTTTTAATAAATTTAAAATTTTATAATTCAAATTAGTTACGCATTATTTTTTGGTTTCGTTTGGAATGTGAGTTGACTTTTTAGCTTTTGATTTTTTGATTGTTTTAACCTGGAGTTAAAAAGAATAATGTTAGGGATCATGAAAAAAATATCATGAAATGTATCATGAAGATTTTTCATCATTTGATTAGTGTGTGGTGTTTTATTATAAGTGTAATTTAAAGGTGGAGAATCTTTCATGATCATCTTCGTGATATTTTTTTCATGATCCCTAACATTACTCGGTTAAAAAATCTTGTTTGGGATGGACTTTTTTGATTTTTTTAAAACTTTTATGAGAGAAAAAAATAAGATAATTATGATTTGAATGTGATAACTTTTAATTTATGATTAAAAAATTCATTTTATCTTTTTCTGTGACTATTTTAATCTCAATTCACCCAAATCGAACTTTCCAAATGACTACTTGACTTATTACAAAATACCATATTATCTTCTTAATTACAACAAAAGAATAGACTGTAACATAAGAATAGAGTGTAACATAAATGATTCAGAATACTAATGACATGACAAGAAGAAAAAAAAAAAGAAAAAAACGTCACATCATAACAAATAAAATTCATTGTTAGTTGATTTTAGAGCTCAAAAATTAGAGTTTCAAAACATTTTTAGAACTCTAATTTATGAGCTCTAATAATTTTAATATATATGTAAGGCTCATATGATGTGATATTATGATTTTTTTTCTTTTTTAGACATTTCATCTCACTAAAGCCCAGCTAAAACTCTAATCGTAAAATGATGTATTATTGTTATTTTTCTAAAGTGTAATTAACTCAACATCGTAGAACAAGAAGCAAACAAAGACCAGGTCAGTAGCAGCCTAGGAGTGGGCCCACCCCAACTTACACGCAACTACAAGGAAAATCACGGCCAAGGCATGAACTTGTGGGAAAATTATACGCTACTCCTAGGTCAACTTTAATTGGAACCATTGGTTGAAATAGTAGACTTTGGGTTGTTTTGTTAAAATGATTAAAAATTACTTTTTAATTTTTTTTTTACTTTTATTGAAAAAACATATAAAAAAATGTAAGAAATGATATAATTTAAAATCGGTTAAAAGTTGAAAGATGATTTGCAAAATACCCCTCTATCGAGTGATTATTTTATAATTTTGGAGTATTACTTCATGCTATATCATTTGACACTTGTTAATTTGTTCTAAAATATCCCAAAAAAATATTAAATCTTATTATTTTAACCAATCAATATCAAATAAAAACACCATATGACATTATCTCAAAAACAAAAAATAATAGGAACTATTCAATATAGCGTCAAAAAAATAATTACAAATCAATGAAAACTTTTGTCAATATTAATAATTCAAATTATATATTTTTCAATAATTTTGTAATTATTTTTTCTAACGCCATACTAGATTGTAGTTTTTTAAAAAATAATTTCTCATCACTTTTTTAAAAAATAATTAGATAAGTATTGATCCAAAACCACTGAATAACTTCTCAAAACTAGTGCTAACAATATGTTGACTTTGACTAAGTCTAGGTTTGACTCCACTCGTCCCCCACAAAAAAAAACTCCTTTTTCATCACCATTTTCTTCTCCTCTTTTTCACATCTCTCTCTCTCTCTCTCCACCATTTCTACTCTCTCCCTCTACAATGGCTTTCCCAACCCTCTTTTCCCTCCTATTCTCTCTCCTCCTCTCTATCTCCCCCACCCTCTCCACCAATTCTGAAGGTATAACAACTCTCTAATTAAATTTTCTTTCTTTTTTTAAGCTGATGATGTTTGCCATCTCTTTCTTCTAGGGTTTTTTTCAGTTCAATTTCTCACAATTCCCATCTTAACCTACCCAACCCATGCTCTTGTTCTCCCCCCCCCCCCCCTTGTCCCCTCCCCTTTTTTTTTTTTGGGATTTCAGGAAATGCTTTGCATGCTTTGAGAAGCAGATTCTCTGACCCCACCAATGTCTTGCAGAGTTGGGACCCAACTCTTGTCAATCCTTGCACTTGGTTTCATGTCACCTGTGACTCCAGCAACCATGTCATTCGCCTGTAAAATCTCTCTCTGTCTCTCTGATCTTTTTCAGTATTTTTTATTTTTATTTTTTTGGGTGTTGTTTGGTTCTGTATAATTATACAATTGTGATGTTTTGTTGATTTGTGATTTCAGGGACTTGGGCAATTGTAATATTTCTGGGTCTTTGGGTTCAGAACTTGGTGAACTCAAACACCTTCAATACTTGTATACCCCTTAACTCTTTTGATTTGTTTTTTAACTGTTTGATTAATTTTTCTATGAATTTTTGTTTTGTTTTGTTTTGTTTTGTTTTTTCCTGTGCTAAGAGCATCTCCAATCCCCTCTCTCTTTCATCAAATTTGAGTGAAATTTTGGTTAAAATCTTGATCTGATATGGAACACTCCAATAATTCCAATTTACTTAATCAGATCTTTTTGAGAACTTACAAAACTTTACTAAAAAACCTTGTTTTAACCATTTTTGATGAAAGAAAACAGACTCCTATCCTTCGCTTCTTAAAATTTCATCAAATTTGATAAAAATATATATATAAATGTTGGGAATTTGGTGAAAAAAATTTCGACTCCTTGATTTGATACAGAGTTGATGAAATGAGTGGATCACACTTTTAGTGATTTTAATTTGATGAAAACTTTGATGAAGGATTGGAGATGCTTCGAGTAAAATTAAGGAATTCATATATGTATTTGTCTTTTATTCAATTTCTTCTGTGACTAAGCTTCGTTTTTTGGTGGATTGCAGGGAGCTTTATAGGAATAACATAGGAGGGAAGATCCCGAAGGAATTGGGAAATTTGAAAAGCCTGATTAGCATGGATTTGTATGGAAACAAATTCGAAGGAGAAATTCCGAAGTCTTTTGCTAAATTGAAGTCTCTTCGATTCCTGTAAGAATATTAATACTGTAAAACCATATATTTGACACGTCGGAATCTTGAATGGCCTGTTTATCTCATTTTGATTAATAATTGGATCTGTAATTTGATGGTGCAGACGCCTAAACAACAACAATTTACAAGGGCCGATTCCCAGGGAACTCACAACTCTCACTGACCTTAAAATTTTGTAAGTATATAAAAGTTTTGACTCGAGTCTTCTATTACCGGAGTTACTTGGTTTTGATTTTTGTATATAATGTTGTGAAATGTTAAATGTTGCAGTGATGTTTCCAATAATGATCTCTGCGGAACAATTCCAGTTGATGGCCCTTTTGGAAATTTTCGGATGGAAAGGTATCTTTGCTATCACCCTTCTTCTTTGTGGTGTCCCTGTCTTACTATAAGGTTGTGTTTGGATTTATAGATTTTTAATGAAATGATTTGGGTACTAATCATTCAAGGAGAATTAACTCAAATTTAGATATGGATTCCAATATTTAATTTGAGAGCATTAGCGTGATGGTTATGATGAAATAACGATGTAAAATTAATTATTTAAAATTCTTCATGCTGAGGATTATATTATAGTTATACAAATAATATAATGAAACATTCTCTTCTTGCTCTACTTCCCATTTAGTTTCTCAATCTATCTCTAATACCCAACTCTTTTATATTTTTATAAAGCTTAACCTCCAATCCCTTCATTTGAAATCCATCTATCCAAATGGAACCTAAGTGCTAAGTCTAGTTTATACCATTTTTTTGTCTCTTGTTTTTTTGACATCTCACACTAAATAGATAATGTACCTTGGTGAAAACAAGAAAGGTTCTAATATATTCTATCTTCCTAATTGATTAATAGAGCGTTGAGTTCTTCCCTTTCAGAAGACAATTGTTACATTCTACTAATTAGTGGCAAGATTGAGGTATTTGGGGTGATGGATGTGTCGATACATTAAACCTAGGAAAAATTCTAAAATGGTCATCAATCCAAAGATGCATTGTTTTGATTACCCAAGTTTGAATTCAATTTTTTTTATTTTCTTATTTTGGGTGCTACCAAAATGGTTCCTGGTTAAAAAGTTTGAAGTTACCAATTTTGTAAACCCTTTTTTGTCCATTGAAAAGTTGATTTTGCAACTATTCCACATACGTTCAGTTTATTTGATACTTGTCTTGACGTAGTTAATCCTACAGAGAACAGATATAATAATCAGCCTGCTGATAAGCTCTCTTGGACATACTGTGTATATATGTACGTGTCATATATTATGGTTTGAGTTGGACATAAATGTCAAAACTTCAGATTACCCACAAGCCCTGATTTACATTGAACTAAAGGCAATAAAGAGAGAACTTTCCCTATCTATCTCTCTGAACTATAAGATTGAATACCATACTAAAAGCATATGTGAGGTGATAGAATATGAAATAAACCACTCTACTGCAATGTGAATAATCTTCGTGTTTGGAAACTTGAGAAAGTTGGCATCCCTTTGATGATAGCTTGGTATTTGAGCTAGTTTGCATCTTTCACCGCTAAGATTTTGGTGATTTTCATTGGGATACCTCTTGTTTGACAAAACCTTCAACTTTTTCCCAATCACATTTGCCTTTTGTTTTTGAAATTTTATAAATGCTAGTATGTAGTTGAAGAATGTGCTAGTTTTGGAATCTTCTAGCATTGATTCTTTGATCAAATGGTAAATTCAGTGTCATTTTGTGTCATTGATAATTTGACTTCTGGCTGAAGAATGTGCTAGTTTAGAATCTTCTAGCATTGATTCTTTGATCAAATGGTAAATTCATTGTCATTTTGTGTCATTGATAATTTGACTCCTGGCTTTTATTTCAGTTTTGAAAACAATAGACTCAACGGACCAGAGCTAAAAGGACTGGTGTCCTACGACTTTGGATGCTGAAGAAGACTGGGACAGCTGGAGCCTCTCCTTCATGATTGCTCACGCCAGAAATCGATGAATTATATGCTACATTTTACATATCTATATTGTGTACTTTAACAATGGAAAAATCATATAGTAGGTTAAGTTAAACATAAGTATTGTAATTTGTGCAATAATAATGAGCTTCAAAAGCTGAAGTACAATCTTTGTGCTAAGATTGTTGTACCAAAAAGTTACATTGAGTTACTAGCATCGAGTTGCAAATTGAGATCTGCAATAGCCTGAAGGTGGCTGGCGACATTTGATTAGAAACCTTGGCTATCTTGGCTATATATGTATTTTTTCATTGAAAAATGATCGTGTCTTGGAATAAGCCATGTGCCTGTAAATCAAGATAAGAAAAGATGTGGAGAGAGTGGCAAGGGCTCTGTCAAGTTCTCCTCCGTCCATCACATGGCGAGGTCAACATGTGGTAAGGAGGTAGCTTGGAACTGGGAAGGTGGCATCTCTGGCGCATTTAGAAGAAATAAATCAACTATGGGAAGGAACTTAAAACCTGAAATGAAAACTACCAAAGCTGCCATTTATCTTTGAATCAAATTGGTAATCCAACCTTCCTTTGTATTCATTGCTACTTTTCCTATACTTGCAGCCCCAATAACTGTCATCAAAATGCTTGACAAAATCAGAGGAAACAAACATGCATCCAAGGGGAAATAAAACTCTTTACAAGATTGAGAAGCAGAATTAAACTGAACAGTAATCAAGCTAAAAAAAAAAAAAAGAAGGAAAAAAGTAACTATCTTTTGCTTCTCTAGAACCGCAGCAAGTGGTTGTGTTGCCTCCTTACCGAAGTTCAGACTGCAGAAGCTTTGGCATTTAATCTCTCATACAAACAATAGCCAAATCTGGAATTTGTCATTTGGCGATCCCTTTCTAGCACTGCTAAGATGTCTTTGGTGGATATAGGGTGCACAAACTTCTGGGACATCAAACATTGATGGCCTTGGAATGTATTTTTGTTCCCTATCACAAAGAAAGAGATGATCATTTTACAACAATTTATTCAACATTGAAGAACATGGGTTCAATTACAAAATTTAAAAAAAAAAAAAAAATCAAACCTAGTGTTTTTGTCATGATGGGTGTAGAAAAAAGGTTAAGACAATTTCAATGGCAAACACATTAGTCTAAGGCAAAATAAAACTTCCTGCAAGACAGAAAAACTTCCTTAGATTGCCAATCACTCACAAATTTTGAAAGGTGCCAAGGTCATTTTCATTTAACCCAATGGAGCTCAGGCCACATCTCAAAGTACTAAGTTAAAGCATTAATCTGGTTCGAGCTGCTTCGCAGTCATACATTCTAAACCTTGCTAAAGCTTTGCAAGTTCAAAGAGGTCATTCATGCACCTTGTCACCAGTCTTCTTTGCTATAACAGAAGGGACAATCCATTCATCTTGAAATCAATGAAAACCTAACATACATCAAGTTGTCAACAGCAGTAGATCTAATGTACCTTTTTCTTTTGATTCTTGACCATCACCACTTTTCCTTGGCTATGTCTGTGAAGACATGTAAATCATTTGTTCATCTAGCTGCGCATTAGACATTGCCCCTATTCTTTTATCATGCTTCAGTGGCGCTTTCTTGGCCATAAGCTTCCATTTTGATGTCAAGTCATCTCCCCCAACAGCTGCCTGAGCAGCAACATTCATAGCAGATGTGTGCAATATTTCATTTACCATTCTTTTCACTTCGTTTGCCTGCAAACAAGGTGTAAATGAAGAAGTATCTAGTTCTCAGGATTCCAATATGTCAAATTAGCCAGCTAGATAAAACATACCACTGGATTTCCCTTCAAAAATTACCACATAATTATCACTAACTCTCTTGTGCGGAACCAAAAAAAAAAAAGTTTCCGAGGCTGCTCAAAACTAAGGGGAATCCATGTGAAGAGTAATGGAACCAATTGATGCCGAGAATATTTGAATCATAAAGAAAATGTTTTTATTGGCTTTTTAAAAATAAACGTCATCGTCTTTCAATCTTGAACTGTTCTTTTAAAGTCACAAGATAAATATTTCTCAACAGATCATGCGTCCCATTTCCAGTTTAGAAAATGCTACACTTATTTAAAATTTGTACAAATGTCATTTAGAAACTGATGTGCCACCTTATCTGCGTTTGCTATATCAGCATCAGCACATGTTTTAAAAATAAGGTATGCAATAACAGCATGCCACTTCAGTTACTAACTTTTTTTAGTATGAATAGCATAATTACATTTCAAGTTTCTATACCATAAAATCAATGTCAGATTCCCAAACTAGTGACTATGAATGGCATTAACAAACAAAGAGCTGTTGCTGACGAAATCTTCTATTGAGATCCTGATGCAAGATCCAAAATAGCGTTCTATTTTATATATCTATTTTGCAATTTTCCAAGATGATCGCCAAATGTTGTGGGGGCACACACAGGCTTCTTCAGAGAAATAAAAATGAACTATTTTAGAGGTTGATAGCAAATCATTCTGTTATAATTACTTGAAATTGTTCTAGAAACTAGAACTTTGACTATGGAGGTTTGTCCCTTGGAAAGTGATGGCTTACATGCAGATTCACATATAAGGAGGTTCGCCCTTATACAATGAACTTCATATTTTGTTTTCCTCAATTGATCTCTAGTTATTAATCAGAAAATTTAAAGCTTTGATATCTCATATGTTGTTCTTAATAGGTACTGTGTTAATATATTAGAGAGAAAGAAAGAAATTGATGTAATTGATGTCTAAGCATACCTTCAATGTTGCTGAACAATTGGCATCCTTCTCCGTGACACCACCAACCTGATTTCCTCCAAACTGCACTCACATATTTTCCTACCAAAGTTAGTTCACAGGTTTGGAGAAAAATGTCTATCTAATTCAATTAATCACCCAATCCGTTTTAAACTGTTTCTACTCATCCTCATTCCCATCTGGATTGGGACGTGTATGGAATTGGAATGACTTTTTTTCCCCCCTCAATATACATGACTAGTATAGAGAGAATTCAGATATAAAGAGAAAAACATTACACGACAGAAAATGGTAGAAATGGACAGAGAAGCATCGCACAACAATTTTTTTTTTCTTTTCTTTCTTGAAAGAGTAAACATTGATGCAAATTGCATCTTTAAATACGTTGAATAAAACAAATGATATAACAACCGGACCATTCCAAACACACCCTCACTTCTTCCTCAGCAAACATTCTCACATAACTAGAATTGGGTGCATCTTCCTATTCCAATTACTAAATGTGAAATACAAAGTGAGCTTCTGAATAATTGAATGGAGTATTAATTTTTTACCAAAGAACCCCTAATGCTTCTACCTCTTCAGCCTGTTGTTTCTCCCAGTCCTCCTTGACTTTCCGGTTGATTACTTCAACCTGATGTCGAATACCAGAAGTAACAAGAGTATTTTGTCTTCTCTTTTCAAAGTCAAGCCTCTACAGACAAGACATCTAAAAATTAAGAAAGAAATAAAGTGGCATAGCTAAAGGTTGTGAGGAGAAATGAATATCAACCTGTTTTGAAATCCTTATCAAATTACTTATCAACCCTCGCATTCTTTCCTCCACAAACTGAAAGTTTAGTTGCAGAAGAGCTCAGCAACCATACCAGCTTTGAATAAGAACATATTATAAGTAATCATCTCACCAATGACAAGCACTGTTCGACATCCTTACTTATATTTTTAATTCCAAATTTGGATGCTGTCAAAGACATCAGAAGTCAGGACTTACTTTAAGGTGCAAGTACTAAATGCCACTAAAAAATTGCTCAATGAAACGTTAGAATGTGCACTAGTACTAACTGATTTTTGCCAATTTTCCCCGCAGAGGACTTTTCTGCAAAACCAGCATTCCTTCTTCTTCCCCTTGCACTACCCTTAGTGATAATTTTGACACTTGGCGTCCTACCAGAGATCCAGAAAATAGCTTCTCTTGCTCCTCCTGATCAAAAACATATCTCATTTACAATATTATAAGCTTCACTAGTTTTCAAGTGTTTATAATGTTCAAAAAATGGTGGACTCAACCTAGAAAAACCAAACAAAATACCATACCTCTAAATTGAGTGCACTGACAGCAGTAACATTATTAAACTGTTCAATGCTCTGATCAGAAATCATTTCAGATGTCTTTTGCCTTTTACTGTAAGAAGTTGCACAAAAATGCTGATGCTCATTGACAAAATCTCAGTCAAGGCTTTTGGAATTTGAGAGTTGAATCTTCATAATGAAGCAACAGAAATAGAGAAGTTAAATAAACCTTGAGGGTGGTAGTAGAGTTACAAGCTCTTCTATTGGCTTCTCCTGACCACAATGTCGCTTTGAGGGCAGCTTGGCTTCAGTTCCAGGACCAACCAAAGTTTTTGTAGATGAGACCTGAGCAAGTTTTGGGTAAGAGGAGTAAATGGTGTATCATATCCAAAAATAGCATTCGAAAGTTTGTTGGATGGCAACAACTTGCAAACCAACATTTTCCATTGCACGAAAAATAGACAGAATATTTCAAAACCAGACAATGCAATAGTTATCTAAAGTGTACGGTTATGTCACAGAACCTACAGTGCTAAAGGAGAAAGGATAGACAACAAAAGGATGCAAACTTGCAGAGAATTAGTTTGTCAATGAAAAAATGCCAATATGAGTAATTGCATGAACATTATGACCAATTTACCTGAATTTGCACTTTCTTAACTGCCTCTGTAAGCAACTGACACCCCACAATATCCTTCACAAGCAGGAGAAAGTTCTCACCAGTGATTTTATTTTTCTAGGAATAGCAGTTATATCAGTCAACATTTCAACATTTGAGTATAAGGAATAGTCTAATCAGTTTATGCCTAAGTAGCGAAGCAAAGTTGATAACTAAATCTATGCAAACGACTCACCCTGAGTCTGAAAAATAACTTGTGTAGCTGTGTAGCTCTCTCATTATCAACTTGGGGAATTATAGATTTGAGCAATTCAGCAAATTGCACTCTAACTTGACACTCAGGTTGGCTACCTTTTGTGCATTTAGTATTCAACTTCTCTAGTACTGAATGTTGGTGTTGGTTGCCGAGAAACTGCTTTTCCACATCTGGGATGTTGGCAGGGTTTTCTTGAGAAACCTGGATCTATTTAGTTTGAAAGAACTGGACAGAATACTGCTCTTCCTGCCCTGGTTGCTGATCATCGATAGACTCTTTCTGTACCAAAATGACCTGAATTCCTTCATTTAGCTTCCAGTTTTTTCATGCTGATTATCAGAATCAGCATCATGTTCAATTGTCTCCATCAGAGGGGAGAAAAGAAAAAAAAGAAAGAAAAAAAAGAAGTGATTTCACAACTGAAACTTGTTTTTTCTTTGTTCCCTTTTTTTTTTTTTTTTCAAGTTGATTTGCTTCAAAAGTAGTTAAAGCAGCCATAAAACATAATTTACTAGAATTCTCAAACAGGATTTCCAAAATATGCCTGCACAGAACGAAAGCATTCTGAAATTCCAAAACCAATGAAGTGATAACTCCTCTTGAACCAATTGTATGCCAAAATTTGTCAGAAAATCATTAATGTTCCTCCATTAATTGCCTCCGCAAATTAAGGGAAGTGCTAACTGCTGATTATACACTTCAGGTGACATGAGCATATTTCTAGTAAAAACATCAAGAAGATACTCTATATACACAATTTTTTTTATACAATATTGTTTATTACCCACTTGCCTGTAAAATCTAAGAGACCTGATTTGGGACCTAGCCCAGTTGGAGGTAGCTGTGCTAATTGCTAATGAAAAAACTTGTATTTCTATTTTTCCCAAACCAGCAATTACAGCCCTTATTGGGACTCATAAAATTCTTCATCTCTTGGAAGTTTTTCCAACATAAAAAGATGTTGTTTGGCCTCAATTTCGTTCTCTTAGGGGGAATATGTCAGACTGTAGCACTTTTAGTCTTCTCTGAATGCTTTGTACCACTCTTATGTATCTATACTATCTATACTTCATCTATACTTTGTATACTATTATATAAAGGCCATGTTTGTTTGGGTGGACATGAGCTTGGGATTGGACTAATAGTCCAATAAAATTATGAATCCGATGTTTGGTTAAACAATTGAAGTACGGACTAATTATTTTAAACTTGACTTTTAGTTAAGATAGGATACATAATCCAACGGATTCGTAATCCCAGGATTATTAGTCATGGGAATGCTAATTCAGTCCGCCCAAACAAACATGGTATGAATATTGTCACCGTTTGACTTTTCCAATAATACCCTTCCCACTCAATAAGTGCCATCCATTCCCACCCCATAACTGTCACATCCAATAATTGTTGCATAATTGCATCAAACCGTCCAAAACTGCTAATCAGTTTTCTCAATCATCAAATTATCCAATAATTTAAATATAAAATTGCAAAAGCATTCTTCCTACCGTTTTAAAGACCCTTTTCACTACCCTAAATGAGTGTAACGTAATAACTAGAACCCGCCATGTGATGATAGCTCTGAAATAGTTCTTGTTAGGAATCGATCAAAATCTCTAGCATAAGAGAAAACCATTAACGTTTCGATCTTTCATTTTTTGAGCAAATTGCTGATAGAAAAGAAAATACATGGGAAAATTGAATGAATTATAAACATTTTTTTTTTCCTCCCACCACAAATCCAACATATAAAGAAACATAGCACAAGACAATTTACTAGTCAATACACAAAAGCACACATGTTTCCATAATTAATCTGAACAAGCACACAACACAAGTAATGCAATTAAGTAAAATGTTGAACAAAACTGACTGAGAAAACACCTTTGACTCTCCAGAGATGCTTTCATTCATATTTTCTTGGGAAACATACACAAAGAATGCGATCAATCAAAGTAAACTACAAATAATTGAAAGATTTATAGGTATTGAATGTGCTCTCATGTATGTATATATATATATATATATATATCACTATCAAATACGAATCACAGTAAATCAGTTACCCCCGTAGACCTCGAAATGAATGAGAAGAGAGAGAGAGAGAGAGAGAGGACCGCTTTCACTCTTTATATGTATCCGCACAGTTTCTTCGTACGGAAAACTGGCCATGGTGCACAAGGCTTGTTTGGTTGCATCTTTAATCCACTTCATTCGACAAAATTGTTCATTCTGTTTGAAGTCTTTTTTTAAAAAAAAATAATTTTACTATACATATTTCCTGTTAAAAATTTTACTTTAGTAGCTTTAATAGTTGATTAAATTGATCTTGGAGTCCAAAATCTGAAGTTGGTCATTATTAATCCTTGTAGTTTATGGAGGTAAGGAGGTGGGTTTGTCTTGCATGCGGCAGTCACATTTCTCTCTAACAAAAATGGCGGTGGGTTTTAATAATAGTTGGGGTTGCTGGTGGATTGTTTGGTGCAGTTAGGGTGTAAATTCAGCTTATCGCACTCGGGTCTAGGTTTGGGTTGGTATACATTAGAAGAAAAATGTCTCGTAGCTCAAATTTTGTGGCTCAAAAGTGGCTCAAATGGTCAAAACGACGTCGTTTTGACCATTTTTATGTTGTTCTGTACTCAAAACGACGTCGTTTTGACCATTTGAGCCACTTTTGAGCCACAAAATTTGAGCTACGTAGCATTGTCGACATTAGATTTCGCGAGCTTTTATCAAATTTCGAGCCGATTTATGGATTAGAAAATTAGTCTCGGATGGCATTCAAGTCACGGGTCGAGCCAGTGGATCTAGGCTTAGGTTCTAGTTTAGTACAGATCTAGGTCGGGTCTTACTATTTTTTTATTTTATTTTTTACTGAAATTTTATTTTTTATTCCATAAAAAATAACACTAAATCTTGAGTGGCCTTATAGTAGGTCGATAGGCTAGATTGTAAAATAAATGGCCGAGGCCCAAGCCCAATCCTTGGATCCCAAACTGGCTCGGGTTCGGGCCTAGCCTGCAGGCCAATTTTATAGTCCTAAGTCGAGTGTAGTATAGGAGTGTAAAAATAACTCGTCGGTCTGAAGTTTACTTGAAATCCGCCTACTGTCTGACTATGCCCGAGCCCGAGCTCGAGCTCAAGCCCTCAAGCCTGGGTTGTGAGTTTTATGGCCTAGCCCAGCCTAGCCCGAGACCTAATTTAGTGTGAAAACCCATCTTTTAATTATTCTTTAAAGAAAATTAATTAATCCACAGTCTATCTGAATTATATATTAGTGTAAAAGTTAGTTTTAAATCGACTCAATTCAATCACTAACAAGACATTATTAAGAATAATAATTTTGTGGGTGTTCAATATTTGTTGTTTATAAATTATTTTAATTAGGATTCAATATAATAACTATTCTTACTAAATACCTTAGTTAAAAATCTTAGTGTGTCAATTTTCAGAAACCCACACACAAAAAAAAAAAAAATACAAACAAGCAAACCGTGGGCAAACAACCCATAGTTCCTACCAAACCCACCATCTCTTAGAAATTAGGAAACCATAAAATTTAGGGAAGAACTTATAAAAATTAGAGAAAGTTTGCTCTTAGAAATTGGAGAAAGGGAATGGAATGTTTTTGAGAAAATAAAATAATGGAAAGAACGAGAGGGAGAGAGAGAGATGTCTTCAATTTATATATATGCATGCAAGCCTTCCTTGTGCATGCAAGCATTCGGTGGGGAAAAAAAAAGAGGAAGAAGAGAGAAATCCCCAAAGCAACCAAGCTTAGTGATAGGAGAGGAAGAAGAGTAGGAGATTAAGGAAGCCAAAATTGTCAACCATTTTGTCACCCTATTACTAAGTAAGAAAACCCTCTCAACCCTCTCATTTTTTTTATATAATTGAAATTTTTCAGATTATGTACATTTGATACATTGTCTAAAACTGTGTTGAATCTGCCAGCATGTTGCCTGAATTTTTAGACAATTTTATACTCAAAATTTCGAGATAATTTCTTCTACAAAGTTGTTGATAATGATGTCTAGTTTATCTAGAAATTTTTGGAAATAATTTTTAAGCTTTCTACGAATTTATACAAATTTTTAACTAAATCTGAAACTGTGTTGAGAATAATCTATAAAATCAAATAAACAATTTAGTGACAAAATTAGAAACTATATCATTCATAAACAATGATGGAATAAATAGTCCAGGAGATAATTACATTCCTAGACTATTTTATGGTACAGAAGATATTATGGTACTTCAAACCAATACCTATATTAGGACTGATATGAAAATATTGTTGAAATATTTGATTATTGGAGAAAATTATAAAAGACCCAAATTTAGGTATTGATGAAAGAAATAGGCTACTAGATCAGATAAGAGAAACTTATCTAGAACAAGACGCCCTTTTACAGCACTTTAATTATGATATTAATATGCCAACTAATGATTATGACAACCAATCATTCTCATCTGAAAAAACATTAGATCAAGATATTTCACCAAAAATAAACAAAGGGAAAAGAAAGGCAAGAGAACCAATTGATCCCGAATTATTTGGCACATGGAGAGATGGAAAATTTTTTGACTTTATTCAAACAAATGAAATTGAAAATGATACTGACTCTAGAAGTACCTCCAATCCTACACCTGAGCCAGTAATATCTAAAAAGAATAATAATCATAAATATCCAATAGGTCAAAATGGTATTTATTTAGACTTGTCTCATATTCCATTTAAAGATTAGGAACAAGCAATTGATGATTGGGCACAATCCTTGTCCATCATTATTACCAATTATAAAAATAGTTGCTCAAAGGAAAAATTCTTTGATTATATTACAGCAACTCTCTAGGGAGATGTGTTGCAATGGTTAAGACAGTGGAAAAAATTTGAAATTGAAAAAAGTCAAAAAACGGCTTTGTTAACAAATTTTCTAACACGTGACACAATTTTAGCTAAATTTAGCAAAAATCATAAAAGAAAATTTATATGGTTTTGCAGGAGATACTAATTTGCAAGCAGATACAAATTATATTTTAACTAAATTAGAACTATGTAATATTTGTCTATTTGAAGATTATGTTCAAACTTTTAAAAAATATTATTATCTTATTGATTCACCAACAAATCAACCCTGACTAGATCAATTTTTTCATAAACTCCCTAATCTATGGAATGAGTTATGTATTAAAACATATCTTGTTTTTCTCAAAAAAATATGGGAAGAAGAATATGATAATCTTAGTTTTCGCATTAATTATGTTCTAAAACTGATAGCAGATCGGTGTCTAAAAGCGAAGGCAAAAAAATAAATAAAAAATCAAATTTCTAACTCACAATATGGTAAAAAATATTGTGATAAAATTTTAAAAGAAAATTGAAAAATTGGTTGTAATACATTTTCAAAACGAGTCGCAAATTAAAAAAAACGTAAAAAATATAAAACCTTTTGCGACGATTTTAGGTTATTCGTCTCTAATAATAGTATTTATTCGGTTCTTCATTTTTTTTTGGCGACAGTCACTTACCGTCGATGACGTTTAAAAAAAAAAAAAAAATTTTTGGGCGTCACGTTTAGCCATACTTTGAAGCCCACCAAAGGCCCGACTGAGGTTCAGTGTTATTTTTAAGCTATTTTAGTAAGGGGAACTTACTGATAAGTCCCATGTACCAAGTTCAAGATCCAGCTAATCCCAAAACAAAACACTTGCACCAATTAGTCCAATACATTTTTAATTCTACCAAAATTTTTTATTTTTTTTTAATTTACAGACACTGTTCACATCTTACTACTGTTGGACTTCCATTTAACGGTCGCCAAAGACTCACCGGAATGTCTAGAATATTGCCGGAAAAAAAAAATGTTATGAAACTGTAAAATTTTACAGTTCTAAAGAATGTTATAAAACTGCAAAATTTTATAGTTTTAAACCATGATTCATTCCAGTACCAAAAAAAAAATTTGAAAATGCAAAATTTTACAGTTTTCACTGCCTGTAACTAAAACTCGAAAACTACTTGTTCAGAATTCGAAAATTTTCTCTATTAGAATAGAAAAACAGAAGTGTATAGCAGAGAAAAAAAAAGATCGAAGGAGAAAGGCGGATGTAGAGAGAGGATTATACTCCGATAATTATTTTTTGTTTAGATCTAACCAAATCTGATGTAGATCTACTCAGATCTGATCAGATCTAAATAGATCCACTCATCTTCTTCGTCGGAAATATATATCTTCGTCGTCGGTGAGAGTGAAATCACGAGTTGATTTCGATGGTTGGCGGTTATCAGTGAACCCCGATCAATGGAGAAAGACATGAACACTTGCACCATCGTCTATGACGAAGACGATGAGTGAAAAATGTAGAAAAAAAGAGAAAGAAGAAAACGTAAAAAGGGAGGAAAAAACCAGAGAGATGGAGGAAAGGACTTTTGGGTGTACCCAAAAAGTTATGGGATTAAATGGTGTCCACATGTTCCACATGGGACCTGTGGGTAATTTCCCCTTTTAGTAAAAAGAAATTAAAAAAACCTATTGGGCCTGTGCCCAGGCCCAAGACTCAACTTAAGGCCTGAATTTTCCTAGGGCTTGGGCTTGGGCTTGGGCTTGGCCGAGATTTCATACGAGTAAGTTGCCTTAACTTAATTTTTGACAGGAGCATGCGAGGGGCGAAGGTAGGCTGACTCGAACCTATATCCGAATAGGTTGGACCAAGCTAAAATTACACTCCTAATGGAATGGAAATATGTATATGATAATGAGTTGAGTCTACATCAATGTTCGATTTTAGGTGAGTCAACTCAATGAGTTAAGTTAATGGAAGAAATTGTTGTAATGTCTAAAATGCCCCTAAGAAATAAATGGACATGTATTTGTCACTCAAAAGTTAATTGACCGTTTCTTATTGTACTTAATTGACACAAAATAAAAAAAATTAAGATAAAAAATATTGCAATTAAAATAAGGAGGATCTATGAATCTAAAAAAAAAAAAACAAGGAGGATCAAAATGAAACTCAAGTGAAACTACGAGGATAAGTTTGCCTAAAAAGAGTCTAAGAAAACAAGAAACATAAATCTAAAGTAAAACAGGGACATAAGAGCAAATGAAGAATGGGAGGCAGGCAGGTAACAAACCTGAAAATTCACATGAGGCAAAGTGTAATTATGCAAATATCGAAGGGTTCAACGGCAAAAACAAGTATAACGTGTTGCATAGAATGGACACGTGGTTGAAAGAGGTGGCATACCTTTACACGTGTTAAAAATGTAAAGGCTGCCTAAACTACTGGAGAAACTTCAACTTCATTTGCCTTTTGAGGACTTGACAGAAACTTCTGGAAGAGTTTGAGCTATGTGCAATGTGTACTCTCAACTTAGCGTACTCGCAGGTATTTATCCTATTTTTTCATTCTTTGATTTATTTTTTCTTTTAATTTTTGGTGGGGGCACTGGCAGGTGATGGAAGGAAGGTGAAAGTGAAAAGATTGTGATTGAGACTCCCTCAATCACCAACCCCCACCAGCTCACACATACGTGGCGGGTGGTGATTCGAGGAAAAGAAAAAAAAAGAAAAGAAAAATTGGCCAATCAAAAAAGAGAGAGGGTCTAAAGGGGTGAGAGAAAGGGGGTCTTAATCATTTTTCAAAGTAAAAATTGTTGTGGGTGGTGGCAGTGGTGATGGGAGTGAGAGTGTCGGTGGTGATATGGTAATATTAATAAAATTTTAGTTTAAAAAATATGTTGATTTTTATAAGAAAGTAAATTTGTTTTCTTATAATTTTTTTTATTAATTTTTGTTTTTTATTGTATTAAATGAATATGAAAAATTATTTTAAACAAATATTTTCTACCTAAATAAATATCGTGTTAGTTTCGTTTTTCATATATTTTAAAAATAAAATATTTAAAGTTAAAAAAACATTTTTCATGCCATTTTTTTATAAGAAAAATTAGTTTTTAAAAATTCAAAATAGCTTTTATAGTATTTTTAAAAATTTAATTGTTAAAAAAAATTAATTTAATTTATTTTTTAAAATAAGCTTCTAAATATTTTAAAAATTTATTGGTTATGTTTTTGAAGAAGAAAAAAAAAACAACATTTTGCCATTATATTTGGAAGGTGAAATTATGCCAATCTCATGCATGAATAGTGGGGGCATTGCTCCACTGATGTTTGGAAATATATATTTTTCATAGGTCTTATTAACAGTAGTATAATGTTAAAAAATTAAATTTTATTGCACATTTTACATAAAATTATATTCAAATCCCAAAACGAAAAGAGTATTTCCTAGTTAGTACCCTTTCAATATGCCTTCTTGATGACATATTAAAATATTTTCTCATATAGGCCGTATTTGTTACCTCAAAAGATAAAAAGAGATAGCAATGCGGTGAACTATTATTTTTGAATAAATAGTTTATTAACTATTTAGCTAAAAATAATATATATTCCATGTTTGTTTTGCCATTTAATTAGATGTTTGAAAATGACTTATCTATATATATTTTTAAAAATTCAAAATTATTAAGTAAAATATTTAATTTGTCCCTACTAAAATTTTGGATAACATTAATTTTACTAATAGTTTGCCATTTTCCCCCCAATTTCCCATAAGATTTTATTCCCAAATTATTTGTTTTAATTATCAAATAAAAAAAACTTATAATTTTCCATGATTTTTGATAGAATTTTGCATTCATTACAAATCTAAAAATCTGACCTTACTTATATTTTGGAAAAATAAAAAAAAATAAAAAATAAACATAATTTGACCTTTGTAACAAAATAAATTATAAATTTTGTCAATTTAAATTCTAATCGTTTGATTTGTTTTTAATTTAAATTATCAACCTAACTCCATTAAATAAAACCAATTTAAAAATAATATCTTAGTCATTAAACTAATATAGGTGTACATATAATGTCTAAAATATATTTTTTCATTTAGTTTAATAGTTAAAATACATTTTTTCGTCAATAAAAATAAATAAATGATTTAAATTGAAAATAAATCAAAAATTTATGACTTAAATCGATCAAATTTAAACTCCAAGACTTATTTTATTATATGAGTTAAATTTATTATTATTATTTATAATTTCTATTATTTAAAGTTAAAAGGGCAAAAAAAATAAAAGAGATGCGAGTATGCATTCATTCCATACTCGAGAAAGTGGTTACCAACCATAATATTTTAAAGGAAGGAGCCCATTTCATATTTTCCCACCTCCTTCACGCATTTCCTGTTTCTCTCTCCTCCCTTCTATATTTTCTTCTCTCCCACCCTCCCTCTCAGAAAACACAAAAAGCAAGCAGATTCCAGATTCTAGAGGGAGAGTAAGAGAGGGAGACAAAGATGAGCTCCAACTTCCTCAGAAATGGCAGCAAAAGCTTCCACTCCATTCGCAACCTACTTCTTCAAAGACATTCAATCGCCGACTCAGCCAAAGCTCCGATTCTCCACCGACAACTACAACAACAACAGCAACAATCAAGGGTTTATGCTCGATTTCCACATTCATTTTGCCCAAAAACTAGAGCGCTCGAGCGCTATTCTTCCACTACATTCTCTTCGTCCTTTTCATCTACTGTTTCGTCGTCGCCGAAGATTGGGATCGTTGGGTGGTATTTGGGGATGGTGAAGTCTCGCCCTATTCTCACCAAAAGCATTACCTGTGCCTTCATTTATACATCTGCTGATTTTTCATCTCAGGTATTTAAAAGAAAAACTCCCCATATTTTGTTATCTTTTCCTAGAATGTGGTATCCTGGTAAAGAATATTCTCTAGCTGCTTTAAACATATAATAAAGACGGTGGGTTTAAACTTAAATAGAGGATTGGGTGTCAATGCATTTGGTAAATTGTTACTCATAGGAGCAATAGGCAGCTGAATAGTTCAGTAACTCAACAACTGAATGTCTTAAACAGAATCAATTTTTGTATTTGCCTAGAGGGGTGAATAGTTGCTTTTGTTTTATAGGTGGGTTGAATTTTAATTTTAATTTTTTTTGATTAGGTAAGTTATGAGAGAAAATAAAAAAAAGATTGCAAATTTTTTTCCCCTTTTGTTTGGATAGATAAGAGAGAAAAGAAAAGAAAAGTCTCTCATATCTTATTTAGTTAAGCTACATAAAAGAAAAGAAATGATATAATGTTATATTACCAAATTAATCTTTTATGTAGGTGTTAGTCTTTTTATTTGTTCTATATTTAAAATGGTAATTTTGGTGTTCTAGTAAGTAGAGAGATTGAAAATAAAAATTGAAAATATGGGTTATGAGAGAATTGTGTTCTTTCCATTTCTCTCTTTCTCATATATGGTAATCCAAACAAGTGATTGAAATCCATTTCTCTCCATTTCATTTCTTCTCTCCAAATCACTCAAACAAAACGAGCGAAGTGAGTGAAATGTTACTCATAGGAGCAATAAGCATCTGACTAGCAGAGTAACTCAACAACTGAGTGTCCTAAACAGAATAAATTTTTTGTATAGTGAAGGACTTGTTTGTGCCTAGAGGCCCCTGAAATTAAAAGTTCTGTTTGAAATCTGTTTACCTTGGTTTGTGGATAGGTATGCAAATACACAATGTATGTGTGGAGTTCTTAAGAGAAATACTCAAACAAGAATTTCACTCATAATTTACTCACCAAATAGGTCCAATACATTGTTTGCGAAAGATGGGTTTCAACTTTCAAGTAAGATAAAAGTAAGCCAATTTTCCTTAGGCTTTCTCCCTCAAAGTGTGCAGCCCTCTACAGCATATATCAACAATTAGAAAAATCAGTGTTTTGACCTAATTAGGCAAATTTCTGTACGTGCACTTGAGCCTCTTTGGCAGGCTGCAGACGCACAGCTACTGGATTAGAAAACTAACATCCAGAGTCCCACACCCAGGGCCTGCTCGAGCACAGGTGGAGCAGGAATCAGGACCTTACAGGAGTTATTTCAAAAAATAAAAGACACCTTTCCTCTTAACTGAAATTGAACCCACTTTAGGCAATCCTATCTGTAGTTGAAATGCCGAAAGTACCATCCCATTTGAGCAGCCTTTGGCCAGTCGTTGATCTAGCCTCGGAAAACAGACCAAAGTCATGTTTTGGAAGGAAAATCCAATTCTATGTGTATCGAGACTCAAGAAAGGTAAGTAATGCAATTTAAAGAACAAGTGTTCTAGACTAATGCATCATACTTATGCATATATATACCTGATGATATAATGGAGTGACGTCAGTAGATCTGGGCAAATATTCAAGCATGAAATTTTCAGTTTCTCAACTTAGTCTACTAACCCATTACGATGCATTCCCAAGTGCAACACAATAGACTAAAGTTTTATCAATGCAATTGGTTTATGAGGAACTCTTGCAGTTAACAGTCAGACTAAATATATTTGCTTTGAAAACATAATGGACCTGTTACCCTATTTAATCTTTACTGTGGCTGGAAAGTTCAATTGCAATCATTAAGATCATGCACAATTATTAATGTAAAGAAGCTGCGGTTGTTGATCTATTTGACATAAAAGAAGGGGCTGAAAAACCTGAGAAGCAGCTTCTAGTCTGAAGGTAATCCTTTTGTGGAAATAATGCTGGAACTTATGTTTTCTCATATTCTATCTTGAACTTTTCTTTTATTCTGCCCCCCACCCTACTCGCCCTCTTTTTCTCTTTGCATCTCAAAGGCATCATCTTCTACTACTTATTTACAATACCATATATTTTTGTTTAAACTGTGTGGGTACTTGTATCAAGCTCAATACGTGGCAAGCCCTACAGGTGCCACATCACCAAAACCCCACCTACGTGGCAGACACCACGTCTGGCATGTCATATGGCGAGCCCTATGGGCGCCATGTGCCAAGGCAACCAAAACTATATGCTTAGCCTAAGCAGGAGTATATATACAAGCCCAAATATATCTAGATATGAAGAGCCCTGCAACAGGTAGCACCATGGCCCCTTCATACCTCGCTCCAAGGCCAAATTACAATACAATCAGCCCCCGGCTCACTTGGACTTGGATTGATAAACAATGGCTCTCCTAAACATTGAGATAGGCCTGCAGCCCATTCTCCTACTTGATCGCTCAGAAACGAGCCCCTCTCTTAAACATTGAGCTAAGCCCGCGGCCCATTCTCCTACTTGGTCACTTGGAAGCGAGCCCTTGGCTCTCTTAAACACTAAGGTAGGCCCTGGAACATTTATCTACTTGGATGCCTGGGTTAGGAGCAGGACCCAGGCACTACTGCTCGGGATCATCAGAGGATACTGGACTGGCAGCTGAGGTCATGGGATCGTCCAGATGGTTGTCTTCTTGCTAAGACAACTCCATCTCGACCAGGCTTGGAGAAGAGGCAACAATGACCTTACATTCATGTCATCCGATGCATATACGAAACATTACTTTTTGCCTGCCATGAAACGTTGCTCTTCGCCTGCCGGCAAGCCACAGACGGCAGAAGGGCTTATATCACTTCTGGCAGAGTTGAGGAGAACGAGCCACCTGTCCAACAGTTCGCTTGGACTCTAATACTCCTGTGGCCTATATAACGTATCGTATATGCAGCGAGACACAACAATAACAATACAACCAAGTCTCGTGCTTAAACACTCTCTCATACTTTACATTAGTGTTCAAAGGTCTATCACTGCCAACCTCTCCCTCTCCAAGCTTGCCTTGACCTCCTCTCCACCTTCGGTGATCTCAGGCCATTGAAGTGCCTACCATCTTCCCAGAGGTCAACGACTGATCGCCTCTAATCTCTATCACCCACATTATACTCTGCTGGGGAAGAGTGGTGCTCGCTTCACATGGCGTCCAAAAAGAACACTGGATCTGGAATAGCAACATCCCAAGGTGGCGGTAGGGAGACCCTGGCGGAGACCTCGGAACACAACTCCGGCGGCTCTCCAGAAGAACAATCCTCCCAACCGGTCATAGCGGACCAACTATGTGCGTTGACTGAGAGCATCACCTCTCTGCAACAGAACCAACAACTCTTAATGGACGCCTTACTAGCCTTACAAAGGGCACCTACACTTCCATCATCGTCTAACCCTCTTTCAGCATCACAAAATGGCGCTCCGCCATTAGCCCAAAATGGCTCGGAAGCCAACCTCACTACGCAAAACAACTTGCGAACCCAGGCAGGAAGACAAACAGTCGCCCCGCTCCCTCCGTCAGCTCCTAGCCAAATACCCCCACCGCAGGTTGGATCCATTAGCGGAGCTCCCACCGCAGTGACTTCCACTAGCTCTCTTGCTCTCCCGGTGGATCAGAACCCTTCCCAGCCATTAACATGGGAAGTAGTAAAAGAGCACATACACAGTCTACTTCAGACAAACAAAGGTCACATCCCTGCCTCCCCAGAATTGGACCTCCGTCCCCCTTACCCTATTCACATCGCAAGTCTTCCATATCCGGCGGGGTACACAGTACCCAAGTTTGTTCGCTTTGACGGACGAAAAGGGAATGCCAGGGAGCATGTTTCACGCTTTCTTGACGCCCTTGGAGCTCACCGAGAGGACCGAAACCTCCGCATGAGGGAATTCTCCAAATCCCTCACAAATCGAGCATTCTCGTGGTATGCTAACCTCGCTGCTGGCTCTATTTCTTCATGGGAAGACTTGGTAAAAAAGTTTTATATCAAGTTTTTCTACGTTGAAGAAAGGTTAACCACCCTTCACCTTATGAGGGAAACACAGCGACTTGGGGAGGACATTCTCGTTTACGTCCGCCGTTTCAGGAAAAAAGCAGTAGACATTCAAGACCCGATAGAAGAACACCAACTGGTGTCATTGTGCATTGAAGGAATGCTCACGACTTATAAACTCCAGCTAGTCAACCACCACTTCCCTGACTTTTCCGCTTTATGTGCTGCGGCCCGAAACATAAGTGAAACAATAAGATCAGGGGCACGAATGACAGCACCACAACCCTACTCATGGCGACCAACAGCACCTCAACCTTTCTCATGGAGGCCTAACCGACGCAACCACGCTGTGTATGCAGCCAAGGGCTCCTCTTGGGAAGAGAAGACCCATAGGCAAAAAAGAGAAAGTTCGATCAAATTCCCCCACCATTACCTATCTCAGTGAATGAAGCACAGGCACTCCTCAACGCCTGGTTAGAAGATGGAAAAGTTCACCTCCCCGAGCCAAGGCAACCTGTTAACAAAAAGGATCAAGCGCGGGCAAACTATTGCATATACCATTGTTCCGTTAAACATCCTACTACGGAATGTTGGGCACGCAGATCCCTAGTTCAAAAAATGATGTCTGAAGACGCTTTGGAGCTACCTCGCCAAACAGAAGATGTCTTGAAAGATCCTCTCCCGCGCCATAAGGATAATGGTAAGACGGTCATGATGCTTTCACATTATGACGAGATGGAAGAGCCAATGGTGTGCGAGCTCCCTGAACTCCCAGCTCCCACTTGTTCGGATTTTGAGACCAGGCGGGTGATAGCACTTAAGAAATCGACAAAGTTCAAGTGGTTCTTCGACCAATTCGGCCTGTCTGAAGCAACACGCTTTGAAGCCACCAAGGCCTTTTTAAGACTTGCAGAGCAGAATGGTGAAACGTGCATGAGTGTAAGCGGATCAGTAAGGAAAGTATTTTGGGATAACTCCTTGGCAATAACCTTTTCCGAGGCCGACAAACAAGTACCATTTCCACATAACCGTCTCCTCTACGTCCCAGTATTCATCAATGGGATGGAGTTTCAAAGAGGATTCATGGATGGAGGAGCTTCACTCAATGTGACGCCTCATTCTACTTTCCAGGCAGCCGGGATCCCACAAAAGCACTTAGTTAGACAACCCATCTCATCGCCGGTTTTGGAAGCCAAAAAATTAAAACCATAGGTCATGTCCAGTTAGACTTAGCAGTG